TGTTTGTCGTGTGATGTTTGTCGTGTGATGTTTGTCGTGTGATGTTTGTCGTGTGATGTTTATGGTGATGTTTATGGTGATGTTTATGGTGTTGTTTATCGTGATGTTTATCGTGATGTTTATCGTGATGTTTATCGTGATGTTTATCGTGTGGTTTATTGTTGACTCACCCAGCAGCAGCAGAGCTGAAGCTCCCAGAGCCGACAAGTGACAGAACTTGAGCTCCAGAGTCAGCAGGTAAACCAGAGGAACACAGAGAGCTCCACACAGAGCCGGCAGCAGACGCAGAGTCCACACACTCACACTGCTGGGATACTCTGTAGGACAAACACACCGGTTCAAAGTGGTTTAAACTGGTTCAAAATGGTTTAAACTAGTTTAAACTAGTTCAAACTGGTTTAAACCAGTTGTGGTACAGTAACTGGTGTTCCTACCTGCTCCAATTCTGTTCCACACAAAGTTCCCATCAAATCCTCCCAGGTACGCTGCAACAAACACATTAATGACATGATCACACAGGTGTCTGACACACAAGTAACATCATGGAGCGGTTGTCGCGGTAACTGACCTCCGAGGGCCAGGATCATGTGACCGAGCGGCGGCCCGCTGTCATCGATGAAGAAGACTCTCTTCATGTAGAGAGACACGAACTGACCGTAGTACACCTCATCGAACCTGTACAACACAAACATCATGGAGACAGGTGAGACAGGTAAGACAGTCTGGTGTGTGAGTCCGGGTGACCAGGTGTGTAAAACAAACACACTCACACCACAGCGTTGGGGTAGCTGAGGTGGCTCAGTCTGGTCCACAAGGCCAGCAAGAAGACCAGCAGCAGGACTAGGTCCACCTGAGCCGTCACCACCAGGGGGAGCTGCAGCATCACTGACACCTGAGACACAAGACAGGTGAGACACAAGACAGGTTATAAATGTTATAGATGCAATAAATGTTATAAATGTTGAAAAAATTATAAATATACATTTAATAAATGTAATAAATATAAATATTCTAAATGTTCTGTTATAACGACTTTCTTTGTCATCTGAATCTCGTCAAATTCTACATTTAAATTGACCAAAACAATATCTGAATAGTTTGTTTCTGAAGTAAAGAAACATTTCGTGTCAATGATAAAATATAGAAACTTTACATTTTATGAACTTATTTCCGTGTTTGTTTCTTCTCATCTCATCTTTACTGGATTTATTTATTTTTCTATCAGAAATAAAAACTATCAGCTGCTATATGTGACGTCATCATCTAATAACACATAATTATTTTATCATTTAATACAAAACAATATTTAATTAAGAAAAATAATCTGAGATATCGATCACATCTCAATGTGAGAGAATGGAGCTAACAGCTGTTAGCATTGTTAGCATTAGCCTCATCGTTAGCATTAACCTCACCGTTAGCTGTTAGCCGTCAAGAGTCCCGTTACCGTAAACTCACCTGGTGACGTCACTCCATTAACCTCAAACAGACCATCCCACCAGTACAGAGCCGGTGCCCCGTGGCTCTTCAACGTTTCTCCCGGTTCGTTTGGAGCACCGAGCCGCTCGATGTGTCCGGTGTTTGGTTGGTGCTGTCTGCTCTCTGAGCCGCTCGATATGTTTGATTAGTGCTGTCTGCTCTCTGAACCGCTCGATGTGTCCGGTGTTTGATTAGTGCTGTCTGCTCTCTGAGCCGCTCGATGTGTCCGGTGTTTGATTGGTGCTGTCTGAGCCGCTCGATGTGTCCGGTGTTTGATTGGTGCTGTCTGCTCTCTGAGCCGCTCGATGTGTCCGGTGTTTGGTTAGTGATGTCTGCTCTCTGAGCCGCTCGATGTGTCCGGTGTTTGATTGGTGCTGTCTGCTGTCTGAGCCGCTCGATGTGTCCGGTGTTTGATTGGTGCTGTCTTATCTCAGTGTTTATTTAGTTTCTTAGATTTAATATTTAAATATATTTTGACATTAGTATTAACATATTGAATTCTTGTATTTTATGATCACGTTTCTTTTTAGTTGTATTTTATATTTTTATTTTCTTTATAAAGTCCTTTGTAACACTATTAAAACAAATAAAGTTTATTATTATTATTTATAATATTGCGCTGGTTCATAGGGGCGGATGAAGACGAGTAGAAGAAGATTAAAACAACTTTCATCCATTAACCTGCTGGATTCTTTCCCAGCATGCACTGGGTCAGAGACATAATACACCTGCACAGGTGATCAGTGCAGACAGTTCACCTGCTTCACCTGTTATATAAATGTCAGATTATATTGAAATATTGATGTCACACTAATGTCACAAAGTACATTTACTCAAATACCACACTTAAGTACAGTAATGATGTACTTGTACTTTACTTGTGTAGTTCAGTTTTCTCCTGCTTTATACTTCTACATTTATTTAATAACTTAGTTACTTTATAGAGTCAGATTATTCGTCAACAGGTGAGCACGTTTATTGAAATATTAATGTGAATAATTGTACACAGGAAGAGGCCCCACGCTAACACCAGTTAGCTTCAGGCTGACCTCAGCTAACACCTGGCTAACTCCAGTTAGCTCCAGGCTAACCTCAGCTAACCTAAGCTAAATTCAGGTTGTTGCCAGTTATTTTAGGAATAGACCAGATGAGCACATGTTAGCAAACTGTTAGCCATGATTAGCCCAGCATGTGACACATTAGCACCAGTCTAATCCAGTTAAGTACCAGTTTAATTCAGGTTAGCATCATGTTTAGCCACCTCAATTCTCAATATCCACATGTTAGCATTGAACTAGCACAGGTTAGCCTTGTTGCTATGCATGTTAGCACAGACTGAGTCTCTTTCATCGGTCATCTCTGATTGGCTCGTGGGGCATTCCGTGGGCGGAGCCTGAGTGAGAGTTCCCACAATGCCTCTTCTGCCAGGTGATCGCTGAAGTCATTAAAGAACGATATGATGTCATCATTAGGCTGCAGACTGTAGGGACTGCAGACAGAGAGAGAAACAGGTATTAGGACTGTAATACTATATTATGTAGGTGTCACGGGGCATGATGGAGGACTCAAACGCAGACCAGAAGTAGAGTGAAGCGGGAATTTAATGAATACTTAAATCAGAACATGAAACTTGCAGGAACACAGTGAATCTACGGACGAGACAAGAGACGAGGGGAAAATCCAGCAGAACAGAGGCAGGACAGGACAGGACAGGACAGACAGGTGCACTGAATGAGTTGATAGGTCAGTGAGGTGAGTGAGAAATAAAGAGACAGGAGAGAAGGGGCAGAGCTGTGACAGTTGGTAATAATACTTATTATAGATGTAATAATACTAAAGGTGACATACTGTAATACTACTTATTATAGATGTAATAATACTACAGGTGACATACTGTAATACTACTTATTATAGATGTAATAATACTACAGGTGACATACTGTAATACTACTTATTATAGATGTAATAATACTACAGGTGACTGACACTTGCTGGTAGCTCCTCAGAGTGTCCAGGATGTTGAATTGCTGCCAGCGTTTAGAGAAGTTGACCTTTGATCCCTGTGATGTCATCAACGTGTCAGGATTCCCCAGGTGGACGAAGGTCAAGTCCTGAAGGATTAACCCCCTGATCAGACAGACAGGTTAGAGAGATAGATATAATAATGCAGTGTTTATGTATATATGTGGGGTATAGAGGGTATTAACCTACAGGTAGGGTATATATGTGTGGTACAGAGGGTATTAACCTACAGGTAGGGTATATATGTGTGGTACAGAGGGTATTAACCTACAGGTAGGGTATATATGTGTGGTACAGAGGGTATTAACCTACAGGTAGGGTATATATGTGGGGAATAGAGGGTATTAACCTACAGGTAGGGTATACAGGGAGGATCCACTTCAGCCAGAGCTGCTCTGTAGGCTCTGAAAGATGATGAGCTGTCAATCAGAGAGCTGTACTCCTCCAGAGTCTAAAACACAAACACACGACTCATGATCACATTCTTTTTTCAGACTAATTATTATTATTATTATTATCTAATCATGAAAACACGCAGACCTCCGCTGTGTTTCTCTGCCAGTCCAGGCGTCGCAGGGGGGCGGAGTCCAGCGCAGACAGGATGGACAGGTACGAGTTAAAGTTGTTAAGCCTCCGCAGGTGCTTCAGGAACACACACACACACACACACACAAAGCGATTGTCACCGGGTTTACAGTCGGTAGCTGGAGTCAGATGATCTTCATCCTTATTGTCAACACAAAGCAGCAGTACAGCTGGAGTGACATATTGACGAATAAACAGAGAAAGCTGTCTACGTGTAGCAGTGTACCGGAGTCACCGCGTCTACGTGTAGCAGTGTACCAGAGTCACCGCGTCTACGTGTAGCAGTGTACCAGAGTCACCGCGTCTACGTGTAGCAGTGTACCAGAGTCACCGCGTCTACCTGTAGCAGTGTACCAGAGTCACCGCGTCTACCTGTAGCAGTGTACCAGAGTCACCGCGTATACGTGTAGCAGTGTACCAGAGTCACCGCGTATACGTGTAGCAGTGTACCAGAGTCACCGCGTCTACCTGTAGCAGTGTAAACCCTGATGTTTGTGTGTGTGTGTGAGTGTTACCTTCATGGTCTTCAGGAACTTCAGCAGCAGTTTCTCTCTGTCCTGAGATTTATCCTGAAGAATGATGACAGAACGAACCCTGAAACCAGAGACACACACCCGTTAGTCCTCAATTACACACACAAATACATACGTTGTGTAGTAGGTTGTGTACTAGGTTGTGTAGTAGGATGTGTATTGTGTATTGTGTACCAGAAGGAGACGTTGTTGAAGTGTTGGGTGAACTCTGTCAGGTTTGGACTTTTCTCTTCATTCTGCTCTTTAGACCACAGCAACACCTCTGGAAGCTAGACAGGTGAGACAGACAGACAGGTGAGACAGACAGGTGAGACAGACAGACAGGTGAGACAGACAGACAGGTAAGACAGACAGACAGGTAAGACAGACAGACAGGTGAGGTGTACCTCAATCTTGCAGAAGAGCTCAGAGTCCAGCAGAGTCAGCTGTTCAGCTAGATCCTGACTCCTGAAGTCCAGAAGGGTTCCTGGTCTGAGAGACAACAGAAGAGGGGACATTGGTGTCTTAGTGGAGGACGGACCTGTCAATCATCCAGGAGGTCACAGGTTACCTGGCAGCCACGCCCCTGGCCGCGAGGGGGCGGAGGGACTGAGGAGAGCCAATCAGCTGCCACTTCTGCTCCATCTTGGACAGGATGTTGGAGCGCAGCAGGCGGGCCAGACCCAGCTCTCCACCAATCAGGAGGCTGAACACCAGGTCCATCAGCAGCAGCAGCAAATCAGAGTCCAGCTCTATGGCACTGTACACACACACACACACACACACACACACACACACACACACACACACACACAATGAAATTATCATTCACACCTGGATGTGGTTGTGACATCATGTCTGCTATTAGATTTTATAATGGGTGTGTATTGCACGGAATGTTCAGTGCTAGAGTGATGACATCACGGTCAGAGTGGGGCAGAGCATGAAAATATTCTGTGATTTTTCCAAACAAATTGCTCCCAGTCCCACAGTTTTTACTGTTTATACACCATTTTTGGTGAAAACGTAGGAAATGTTATGCTGGTCGCAGTCATGTGTCTATGGAATCCAATGGAGTTACACATTTGGCTCAAAGAGCCGCAGAGCGACATGAACTCCAACCAACTGCTCCATTAGACTCCATGTTAAATCTCACCACTAATTTCTCAAAGAAAGCAGACGGTACCAGTTTTGTATTTTGCTCTGGAGCTCACATTATTAACACCACAAACATAAAAAACACATCAGCGCGTTCAGCAGAGTCTTATCTCTCTCATGTTGTTGATTGGACTCATGGTTTTGGTATAAAGGGCAGAGGTTTGACAGGTAGTTTTGTTAAAAATCACTATTTACTCTATCGTACTACCGGTAATATTGGCGTATATATATATATGTATATATATATATAGGGAATGGGCTTCAAAAACAAAGCCTCTGATTGGTTGTGTGTGTGTGTGTCTCACCACAGATCCTCCACCACTCTAACCAGCAGTCTGAAGCTGTTGTTAGCAGCAGTGATGCGTTCAGGGTCCCGTCGTTCACACAAATGTTTGTATGTTTTGAAGGTTAAAGAATCTCAGAAAGAAGTTTATCTACAGATCAACACAAACACTCTAAAACACACAATTCAAATGATTCAGCTGTTTTCATCTTCAGAACAGGTGAGAAAAATAAAATGTGAAACATAAAGAATCAGATCGTCTGCATATAAACACTTCAGGCTCCGCCTCATTCCTGTACACACACACACACACACTCAGAGAGGATATCTGTGCTGGAGTTTGGTGATGACGTCATCGGGGCTGATGAAGCTTCTGTAGGTGGAGAGGAAGGCTTCACGATACACAACCTGTTCTACACACACACACACACAACCATCACGATACACAACCTGTTCTACACACACACACACAACCATCACGATACACAACCTGTTCTACACACACACACACAACCATCACGATACACAACCTGTTCTACATGCACACAACCATCACGATACACAACCTGTTCTACACACTCACACAAACACACAACCATCATGATACACAACCTGTTCTACACACACACAACCATCACGATACACAACC